CATTCACGTAGATCGGACATCCACATCCACATGAAAAAAATAACCGAGGAGCTAATGCCTGGCCAAAAAAGTACTGACAGACACGATTTAGTTGCTAGAGTATTTAGATTAAAAGTACAAAAATTAATGTATGTAATTAACAAAGGGAAAATTTTCGGAGAGATGCAGTGCTTCATGTATTCAATTGAATGGCAAAAAAGAGAGGATTACCGCATGTTTGTTTTTGCCCACATTCTAATATGGCTTAAAGAGAAGTTGCGGCCCAGCCAAATAGACGACATAATAAGCGCTGAGATTCCGGATCCTGAGCAAGATAAAGAATTGTATGATACCATCGTCCGAAATATGATTCACAGTCCATGTGGAGCACGAAATTCAATATCGCCATGTACGAAAGAAGGAAAATGTACAAAGAAATTCCCTAAACAGCTATTAAAAGAAACAGTGCACAATGACAATGGCTACCCTTTATACAGACGCAGAGCTCCCGTAGATGGTGGCAGGAAAGTTACAATCAAATCTCGCTCTGGAGCGTTCGAAACCTCAAATAACAGCTGGATTGTCCCGTATTCGCCCATTCTATGTAAAATATTTAATGTCGACATTAATGTAAAAGCATGTAGCTCTGTCCGCTCAATTAAGTATATCTGTAAGTACGTAAATAAAGGAAGCAACTAAGCAATATTTAATCTCAGGAGTGAAGGTGAGGCAAATCCCGTTAATGAAGTACAGACCTTTCAAGCAGGGCGTTACGTCAGCAGTAACGAGGCAGCGTGGCGTCTCCTTGGCTTCCCTTTACACGAAAGGCGCCCAACTGTTACTCACCTTGCTGTGCACTTCGAAAATGGAGAGCGTGTATATTTCACCGAAAGAAATTTCCAAGAAAGAATTGCATCACCGCCGAAAACTACACTAATAGCCTTCTTTCAACTTTGTCAAACCGACCCCTTTGCAAAAACGTTGTTATATTCTGAAGTCCCCCGCTATTATACTTGGAACATATCTAGGAAGGAGTGAAAAAGGCGCGCCTGTTGCAAATTGGTCCGGTGTAAAGTCATCAGATGCCCTTGGTTGTGTGTATGCCGTCCATGTTACTAATTTTGAATGTTTCTGTTTACGATTGCTGCTGCACCATGTTCGGGGTCCTACAGGATATAAAGACCTTAAAACTGTCAACGATCAGCAATGCGCAACTTATAGAGAAGCATGTGAAGCTCTGCATCTTTAAGAAAACGATAATCACTGGAATGAAACCATGGAGGAAGCTGTGCAGTGCCAGTCACCAGCCAAAATTAGGGATCTTTATGCAACTCTCATATCACCTTGCACGCTATCTAATGCACATGAATTGTAGGACAAATATAAAGAGTACAAGGCGGAAGATATTTTGCGAAGGTTACAGCAGACACACGCGAACGTGACATACAATGAACACATTTGAGCAATAACATGAAGCACTTGGAAAAATTGATGATAAAGTAATGGCAATGGTAGGCATAAAATTAACCGACTTTGGAATGATAAGCCCTCAGCGAACAACCGAAAATGAACTAAGTGGTGAAAATTATACGTGAAACAAACTACGATATACCAGCTTTGCAGCAGCAAGTAGCCGAATTTGTACCCCACTTGCTTCCCGAACAAAAACGAGTTTTTGACAAAGTATTACAGTATACATTCTGTTTTAAAACTCCCTCTAAATCTAGCCCAGGAAGAATCGCCGATCTGCATCTTTAGCAAAAATAGTGCACGAGGTATAATGCTACGAAAATGCAAACTTTTAGTGTGGGACGAAAGTACAATGTCGCATAAAAAAACTGTAGAAGCACTAAATCGAATGTTCCAGGATTTGCGCAGCAATACCGATTTAATGGGAGGAATGGTGTTTTTACTGGCTGGTGAATTTCGCCAAACTTTACCTGTAATTCAGAAGGGCACACCTGCAGATGAAATTAAAGCATGCATCAAGTCGTCTATTTTATGGAACAAGGTGACAAAATTCAGTTTAACTAAGAATATGAGAGTGAATTTGTATAATGATATAAATACTAGAAACTATGCTGAAACACTATTAAAAATTTGCGATGGGCGGTTGGAATCGGATGTTGAGGGCTGCGTTAAATAGACGAGAGGTTTTTGTGGTTTAGTACAGTCATTCCGAATTAATTGCGAGCGTTTATTCAGATTTAACGAACGACATGCATGAAGACAAATGGTTAAGTGAAAGGGCGATTCTTGCACCAAAAAATGAGAGCGTTAACAAAATAAATTCAGATGTATTAAGCGAAGTAGCAGGAGAAATAACAGAGTATTTGTCAGTAGACACAGTTATGGACACAGAACAGAGCATTTCATATTCCGTAGAGTTTCTAAATTCTATAGAGTTGTCAGGTGTGCCCTCACATAAGCTTCAATTAAAATTAGGCGTCCCAGTCATGCTAATGCGAAATTTAGATACTCCTCGGTTATGTAACAGGACATGGCCGTGTGACACATCTTGGACGGAACATAATTAGTGCTACAATTTTGACAGGCGTAGGAAAAGGTGAAAATGTTATTATACCACGGATCCCTATAATTCAAACAGATCTTCCTTTTCGATTCAAAATTCTCAGTTTTGCAATGACAATTAATAAAGCGCAAGGGCAAACGTTACAAGTAGCGGGGGTCAACTTAGAAAAACCGTGCTTCTCTCATGGTCAGCTGTATGTAGCATGTTCGCGTGTGTCAAATGCCCAGAATCTCCACATTCTTTCCCTGAATGGAAAAACATAAAACATTGTGTACAGTAGCGTCTTAAAATAGTGTTCAGTTAGTTTTTTTCCAAAATTCCCACAATCAATTAATCGGAATTCCTACAGATCTTCCCTTTCAATTCAAAATTTCCTATTTAGCTCAGTTTCTTTTCAATTCCAAATGCTGCACCTCTGACGGACCTATTAAGCTCAGTTTCCTTTCAACTCAAAAAGCTGCATCTCTGAAGGGTCTTTTATTTGGGTCAGTTTCCTCTCAATTCAGAAAACTGCATCTCTGACGAATCAGTTTAGCTCAGTTTCTTTTCAAAAGTCTGCATCCCTGACGTATAATTATGCTCAGTTTCCTTTAATTAAAATAATATCCCATTTCCATTTGGAATAAACAGGCTATTTTCATGCTTTCCTATACGCTGCGTTTCAAAACATTTAAATAGGCTGACGAATAAATTTTGCTCAGTTTCCTTTTAATGGCTGCATCTCTGACAAATCTATGAAACTCAGTTTTCTTGCAATTCAAAAAGCAATGGATAGTTCATTTCCCAGTGACCATGCGGGAGAAGTCGCGGGTAACAGCTAGTAAGCTACCACCCACCAAATTTTCGAGGTATCACCTCCCCTGAGTTACGGGGGGCGTTTTAATTACAACCCTGTATATCTCAACCTTAAATATAAGTTTGTATTAATTAACGATTTTCGAAAAAAAAAATTCCTTTATAAAATTACATGTTACATTTTAAATTGCATGTACTGTGAGTTCAATTGAAATTATATTATATTAAGATATTTATAAGTGAGTTTGCAAGTACCTAATTACGGGATAAATTGGCGTATGTTTGACTGTGTTGACCTAAATTTTTTATATTCAAACGGATCTTAGACTTTATTTAATATTAATTTCAACTAACTACCTCCACACGTTCATAAGAAAATGTAACAGATAGACGTACAGTGAAGTGATCTTAAAAAAGTTCCGTTCTTATTTCTTTTATAATACGAAACACTAAAAGGAACAAAATGTTAGTTTTCGTGTCTGGTTGCATTCTAAAAGTCCTATTATCTCTAAGATTGCATGAGATTAAACAAAATGAAAGGAAAACTCTTCAGTTTTGGTACAAGTAATTAATCTTTCGTGTTTAAAACGGCAATACGTTTTTTAAACCAATATTGTTTTAAATTTTTAGTATAGAATAGATAAATCCTCTGCCCGGAAAAGAATTGGCGAAAGAAACTCCGCTCCGTCTATTTTATATTTTTTTAAGATAAACGCATTACGATTGTGGAATTGATTGGATTGGATTGTCTATGTTTAAAAGACTTGTTAAAGAGCACTATCAATTACACCATAATCATTAATTCGTGATGTGTAGATATTGTAGATATTCATATATGTAACATTAAAAATATAATGTATTGAATTATATTTTTTTTTGTTATAATATATTATACTTATATTTTATATATATATATATATATATATATATATATATATATATATATATGTATGTGTATTTGTATTGTATATTTCCTTCCTATTCCTATTTCCTTCAAATATCTTTCAATAGTCCTGCTGGAAGAAATTTCTTTACGGAATAAGCAGTGCCTTTGTACATAATTTTATTCCTATCGAAGTATGTGTGTACATATACTGTTAAATAAATAATAAAAAGTTATTTTTTACTTTGTATTAAATGAAAATATCTTCTTCGTTTTTATCAGCTCTATTTAAGAGAGGATTTGTCTTAATTGTCACGCTTTGCAGGCCAATTGACGATCGCAGTTTGAGACAATTCACACAGTGGACGCAGTTTCCCGTCGCCGGTTTGTATTTTACGCCTGCTGTAAACGAGATAGTAAGAACTCAATGTTTTTAAAGACCAATGATACAGTTTTCTTTATCAAAAATAAAAAGCAATTGACCCATGTGTAATTAAAGCATGTTTTACTAAAATTAATGTTTTATAATTAAATTATTTATTGTGTTATTTTAGTATGGTGTATGAATACATAGGCTTTAATTTTGTGTTTTGTGATACAACTAGCTGGTCAGGCAGACGTTGTTCTGTCCTGTGACCTGTGGTCATTGGTTCGCGTATTGCCGATGAGAAATATGATACAGGAGAGTTATACATGATTAATATATTTTAAGATTAATATATAAAAATGCCGTACAAAATTAAATCTATGTAATTCATCATGGCTCATCTACCATTCTATCGTATAAGACTGACACTGGTCTCTGGCAAGTTATGACAAAGTCTCTCTGTCTCTGTGGGAGTGCGTATCGCGCCGTCCATATTTTGTTTTAGATTTGGCTTTTTCTTCCGAGCTTTCATCTAAATCCAAAGAATTGACACCACGTCCGAGACATCCTTTATTTAAAGCCGTTGTCGTTAAAGACTCCGAGAGTGTAGGCTGAGGTAGCCACTTACTATTATGAGGGAATGTACCTGCAATGAAAAATTACAAATTTTACCTTTAACGTTTAGAAGTTTTACGTCCGTACTTGTTCACACGTAAATGACTTCCAGACATACACTCCGTCAAGAAAAGAATATTGATGGGCCAAACCAGTTCCGTTCAGGTTTCGTACGCGCGACCCGCATTGCTTAGTCGGTCAGCCAATGCACTATCAAGAGTTCAGTTTTCAAATAAAATGAAGCGTGGGTGTTAAATTTTTATACTTTAAGTCTTACCAGATTCACTTTAACGCCTCTCCCTTTAGTAACGAAGTAAAAGCCTTTTAGAGCTATCCCTCGCCCTCGCAACGTCTCTTCGATTATAACGGAATCGAATGCAATGAACCGAAACGAGACCTAAAAGGGTATTTATTGGTTACTTGTCCTTGGAACTAAAGAACTAGGAACTTTCGCAAATAGAAGTGGCTTTTTCTTATAAAACTATAAGTGACTGACAATCTTACAGTCAACCATATATCATATGCCTCTGCCACGTATAACTTTGTTATACGTGGTAAAGCCATGCTGCAATTCAACTCGACCGGGGAAGGACCACGCTCTCACAGAATATCAGCGAAAAAAAGTAGCTTAATGCTGCTATGTTTCGTGTGGTTAGTGTAGAGAACTGGAGACCCTTTTTACTCGAAACGAGGCATTCCATCTTAGTCCTCACGGGTGACAACGCATCTGCGTTTTGATTCGTAATCGAGGATAGATGTAGATGTCTATGGACCACAGCAACCACATACCATCAGGTGGTCTGTGTGCTCGTTTGTCATCCTTATCCGATAAAAAATATAGGAATTCGAAATTTCTACAATTTTAGAATATTTCGAATATTCCGAATTTCATTTTGTTTTATGAAAAAATAATAGAATGTCTACCATCTTATTACGTGGGTTTTTTCTACAGGATTTTGATTCGTAGTCGAGGATAGATGTAGATGTCTATATGCCACAGCAACCACTTACAGTCAGGTGGACTGTGTGCTCGTTTGTTACCTAATCATACAAAAAAAGCTGATGGTAATTGGCTACTGCAGCTTATAGACATTCGCAAGTTAAATAAAAGGCTATAAATGCGTTGTCACCTCTGAGGACTAATATGGAATGACCCACAGATATAGGTAAGAGGTTTGTGCTTTACTTCAGACTGAGTCCTATGTAGAAAAAAAGTCTATCTCCTACTCCGCTCATTTACACATTTTATTCAAAAGATGGCGTCACTGCTGATATTTATTATTTATATCGAAGTCTAAATCACGCTTTCATTTTGAATTACTGGCGTTATATATATATATATATATATATATATATATATATATATATATATATATATATGTGTATATATAGAATAACTCTACCAAACGTTAACAGAAGCTATATGAAGATTATATATGAAAATAAGTAAATTTGTAATTTAAAAACGTTTTCTTTTAATTTTATTAAATTGTAGAAAATAATACTGAATTACTGAACCAAGTTGATAGAGCCTTGTGCATTTTTCAGCTATTTATAATAACAAAACCATCTATGACAGCGCAGAAGAAACTTCCCTCGTTTCGTCACCTAATAATTAGTAGAGTGGCTCATCTGTTCCCTATATAGTATATTATCTATGGATAAGACCACCTTATTATACCTGCGTCCTGAGTTTTTCTTCCTGTCACCTGCTTTTTTATGTGTTTTGTGGTGTGCTGATATTAATCAGTCCATTGCTGGGCGTAGAATTCCTCTTATTTTGCGTAGTTTATAGAGCAGTTAGATGCCGCATTGCACCAGACCGAGTTCTTGGGCTTTTACATGTAATGAAAGTGTTTTTTAGAGGACTCCCTTACTATGTTTTCTTTCACCATCTAGCACGTATAAATTAGCACTTAATAATCCAACTAACTATATTAATGCTAGCGCAGATCGCATTTAGGTTGCTCGTTTATTATAATAATTACGGCAAGCACTTAGTCCCTAAGCAAACACGTCTCAATAATTTGTCATTTATGTAGTGTAACTTAAAGATATTTTTTATTAATTCATTTATATATAGCTAAATTCTTCTCGTGAAATTTCATCATCATCATCATCATCAATACAGCTCTTCACGAGGCCACACTGCTGAAAATAGGCCTCCCCCAAAGAATTTCACAAAGCATGATCTTGAGCCACCTGCATCCATCGACTTCCTGCATTACTTACCAGGTCGTCACTCCATATACTAAGTTGGATAATTTTACACGTTAACTCCGATACGAGATAATTTTGGCTGGTACATGAAAAGTTGCTCATGCGACATATCTCTCTCTGATACGAAAGTGATATCTTATAAATATTCTATACAAAAGACAAAGTCTTTTATACATTTCTGATTGTTATTTGCAGTTCTACTTCACAGTAGGTAAAAAAAAAACTAGTAATAAAGTCTGTCTTCTACGCACTGAGTGATAAAGAAATTAATATGTGCGGTATTGGTCGAATCTGTCTTGTACAATACAGACTCGTATCGCACCACGCGAACCTGTTAATATGTATTAGGGCAGCAATTATCGTAGTTTGACAGTTCGTGACTCGTGATTGATGGTTGTGTTACGAAAGATGAATGCACACAAAGTGTAGACGTCAGCGCAAATATAGGGAAAAGTGTTTGAACAAAAGAGGGGATGAACCTGGTAATTAATAATCGCAATTTTATAATTAAGGATCGAGAAAAGGGAGGGGGTCACACAAACCGATTCCGAAATCACCATTTATATTGGTTTTCCTGATATAAAACGAAAAATCAGTAGGTAACTAATTCTGAAGCTAGACTGAGTCACAACGTATAATAAGAATAAAATAGGAGTGACCTTTAGGGACCAAATGACAAGCTATTCAGTATTCTTCAAAAAAAAAAAAAAAAGGTTTGAAATGGTTTAAAAAAGTGATGATGAGCGAGATTATTTTTGGGTCTTGTATAAATAATGCTTGGATTGTGAATAATTAAACTCTCAGAGACTCTAACTAAAAAGCTTACTGATGATATAACTAACATACTCGAAAAAAAGAAAGTGAATACATTTCAGAAACGAAAAAAAGAAAATTTGTTTAGCCTGTTGTAAAGAATAAATAATAACGATGAGCAACCGATAAGCAGATGAGGGGAGTCAATACTTTTGTGAAGAATGTGATAAAACGTTATCTTTAGAATATTTCAATAGAAGTCACACAATTCTTTTAATAAAATAAATATTATACTCATAATTGTCAATAACTATATTTTTGATAGTTCCCTCCTCACTACAGATTTATTGATACTTTTACAAATACCCACTCCAGTGGTGCGATACAAAACACTTTTAGTAAGTAACTAAATATTCATAAAGTAATAGTAATATTCTTTGGCGACGCGAAGCCAGGTTTAGTTCAAGTTACTAACTGGTTAGGTCAAGTAACTAACTGCTTTATACATCATTGATAGATTTATCATGCAAAATCTAAGGATCTAGTTACAAGTCAAAACTGTATTGTAACTCACCATGACTAAATTCCTTACAAGTCATTTTTGATATTCTGTAAATCACAAAACGAAAGTTTTGGAATTGTGGTTCCGCAGCTAACTTATTAACTTAAGATTTTAGCTGGACAAACCCAACTGCCTTATAATGTTTCAAACTTATTATTTCATTTGATGAAGACCAATTTTATTAAAGCCATAAAGCAGCCACTTCGAAGTACAACTTCTTAAAGAGCGTAAGAAGTAAGAAAAAAATAATTTTCTCCCTCACATCTCGACTATTAAAACTACAAAATATATTGTTTTCTTCTTAAACAAAACATGCATTTAGTTCGAAACTGATTGAGATAGATGACTGTGTCTTTTGTGAAATGAAAATGACGTATGTGCCAAAATTACTTTAATTAAATCTCGTATAATAAATCAAATTTTAAAATATTCTTAGTGATAATACATAATCAGTTGTAAGTGATTGTAGATTATATCACACCGTGTAGTGGCGGTGTAAGAATATCCACTACCCGATATCGTCCCGTGGCTGTCGTAAGAGGCGACAGCGGTAAACAAACCAGGAGATAAGAAGCAGTCTTTATCAAAACATCTTGTATATATGTTGATTCAAATTCACCCTCTAGAATCTATGGGAAAGGCCTATGTTCAGCTGTGGACTTTGATACGCTGTCACGACAACTGTATATTATTATTAATGTTGCGCACCATAAGTAATGTCCGGTACAACGGTGAAGACATTAGTTACCACTAGCGCCCTCTAGTGTCGAGTAGCAGAACTGTGAGGGTCAAGATCCTTCTAGGTATTTTGAACTTTCTACACATAGTCTTTCGGGACCGGTTTGTACTCGAACAATTCTAGATGTTTTAGTAGAAGAGGCCCTGTATAAGGCCGGTATCGACCGCGACCCGGGTTAGTATTGAATTGGCGATACAAGAGAATACTTTGAAGCGATATAACTGTGAACTAAAGTGATCAGTAGTACAATTGTGTTTTATTATTAGTGTGTTTTAAGTTGTAATTGGTAATTAAAGTGCCAATTTTAGGAATCAGTCGGCAGTTTTTATTGTCACGAACCCCAAGCTCGTAACATTATTATTAACTCTACATTATATATTAGAACTAATTTTCGTCGAAATTGTTTAAAATGAATGAGTCGTAAATTACAGCAAATTTTAAAAATCCTTAGTCAAAATCGGCACTCTATTCTTGTTGTACTTACTGCACTCCTTGCCCTGTTTGGGACAGAGTTGTAAATGGCTGAAACACAGTGGTATCTTTGTGTTTTTACTTCTATCGAGTAAATATTATGCTAATGAGTAATTGCAGCACTGAAAATAATAATGTATATTATTTAAATAGTTTTTAGTTTCGAACTTAATTTATCATAATGTAATAATATCATAAATAGCGTTTTATATCTCATAAATTACAACAAATTTATTACATACAAAATCAATGAACATTTCAGGTAATGGTATTTTAAATTTCTTGATAGACATTATAATATTAGAAATAGGTACATTCAATTTGAACTTCATTTAGCATTTAATTTGATTTTACTATAGTTGTTTTAATTTTTATAAACAATTTTAATATTTATATTTTACTTATTAATTTACCATAGTAAAATCCAATTCGACTTTACATTAATATGCTTTGTGCGCAGCCTTAATGCGCGACTAACTCAGACCTTTTTTGGACGGAAGTAATGTTCAGTAAAGTCTATGCTTTGTTAAGGCGGTTACCGCATTTATAAAAGCAGCGAGCATCGTGGGCATATCTATCTATATATATTCACATATATACAATTTTCAGACATTATGAAAATTAACGCTGTATGAGGTAGGATTTCTCAGAAATATTGGGCATTCAGGACATATAGGACTTATTTCAAAAATGTTTTACTAATCAAACAGTGCGAAATATAATATGGTATAGTATGGTAAGTAGACTTACGACTTTATGTAGACTTTTTTTGATGCAAATTTAGTAGAGTAGTCACGCGTTTGGCTGCAGTTGCAGGTTGCGGGTTCTATTCCCACACGGCATACGCATATAACTGTATCGCCTACAAAATCTTTCCCTGGCTTATGTGTTTTTTATGTGTAATTTACTCGTAGATTATAAACGTTTCCATGACACAGGAGAAATTGCGGCAACGATTTACATTGCAAATACTCCAGTTTACTGTAGACCCACGACTTTCTAAGTTTGCGATCAACTAACTTAACCTTTAGACTATTGTCATTGATTTAATTTATTTATTTATGTTAAATTGCTAGCACATGGATTACAAGAGTCACAAAGAATGGATTTTATGCTTTTAGCATTCTCGCCTATAAGATAAATGAATGTAAATATGAACATAATAACATAAAAAACAGGTTACTTTTTCTATTGTTAGTGCCCAAGTTTTGTATCGCGACGGCATAAAACGATACATCATTTTATTCTTGAAGTCTATGGAATTCAAAGATTTTTCAGAAAGAGGTTCCTAATGGATGGAACTATAACCATCTCATTTACACCAAACATTAAATACTATGGCTGGCGGTTGGGGGCGGCCTTAAAGGTGAAGAACGCCTGGGACTATATCGGAAGAGTATCACACGTGGTAGGGCCACGCTGCAGCTATATTATGGTTGTACAAAAAGTAGGTTGCTCGATCGGGGTAGTACCACGCTCTCACAGAATACCACTGTAAAATAGCAACTTAATGCTGCTGTGTTTTATATGATGTATATAGAGAACCGGAGACCCTTATTACTGGAAACGAGGCATTCCATTTTAGTCCTCAGGAGTGACAACGCATCTGCATTTTGATTCTTAATCAAGGTTAACACTGTAGGTGTCTATGGGCCAAAAGTATCCACTTAAAATAAGGTGGACTGTGTGCTCGTTTGTTACCCTTATTCTATATAAAAATGAAGGAATCTTAAAAGAAACAAGTCATAGAAATAATTATTTTTAATAGTTAGTGTCGTATTTCAACTAACTGAGTTACAACATCAAATAGGCTAAATGGGCAGTCATCGAGGTATTTGTCACAGTCTCCATTTTTCCCATCCAACTCTGCCTCGTAGTATGCGTCGTCTGTGCCTTCTTTGCGAGACGTTGATGGCCTGTAATGTACATATAATAGTAAAAATAGATGGGAATAATAAAAAAAAATACTTGAAATGAAATTACAGTCTATATTGACATTCGCACACACCTCTTCTCTCTCTTCTGAGATTGACTATAAGCAGGGAAGAATCCGCCACAAGTAGGGGATAGGGTGGCAAGATGGGGTACTTAAACTTTAAAGGTCAATAATATAAAAAATTACATTGTGAAACAATCATATTTATTCTTTTATTAACAACTAATTATTATTATTCTAATATTTGGTGTCACTAGGAACTTTTGGTAACACATTTAAGAGAAAAAAATTAAAATTAAAAAAAGGTGTTTTGCCCCGTCTTGCCCCATGGTGCTGGTAAAATGGGGTACCCCCTGAGGTAAGATGGGGTGATGAGAATGATCACAGAGAAAGATGATTATTTGAGCTGGCAGAACTCACAGACATGGGTGGCTTCGTCATCATCATCATCTATTCCTGCGCAGCTATTATGAGCCCGTCTTACACATAATGAGCATGATCCCACATGATATCCCGCATGATATCCACCCTTCAATGGAAACGGAATATACTTCATCACAATACATATATGGTGTGTCCTCCTCTTCTTCATTTTCATCGCCAGATGATGATACTCTTCGTCGTTTTGCTGTTTTCACTGATCGGCTATTCTTAATAGATTTTTTATTTTGAGCTTTTGTAGTAGTTTTCTTCCGGTTTTTTTAATTCATATTTTCTCTTTTTTGTTTCTATTTTCTCTATTTTTTTTGTTCAGTTTTTTCATCTTTTTTTCTGGGAGATGACTTTAATTCTTATTTGTAGGGAGACGACGGTGATAATTGCTGTTTTTCTACGCTTTTTGGTAACACGAGAAGATTTTTTAGTAAGTGAAAGTGGTAAGAGTTGTTTTGGAGAAGTCAAAAAAGCTACTGTCGTTGTTATCGCATGTGGGCACACATTAGCTGGTTGTGATGTCTCTGGTTCCTGACAAACGGAGTTTTCAGTTGGTTTGAAAGAGTGCGTCTGCTGGTCGGATTCATTTTGTTCTGCTTGTGATGTCTCCGGTTGGTCTTTAGTTTGATACGGTGCTGATTCCTGATTAACTAGCCTGGGACTCCAGTGGGAACACTCCGGCAAAGAGTCATCAACAACCTCCCGGCTAAAAGTCGCAGCATTATCAGCGGTTTGTGCAGCTACTGTGTCTGATGTTTGGGCAGAAGTGACATTGCTTCTATCTTGAAATACTTCTCGGTTTGTGGAAGTTTGACCGTCATTTAACTGAATCTCGGTTGTCAAAGAAGGGGCAAAATCTTTTTACGTTTGGATTATAGGACCAAATTCCACATTTATGAATTCCATTTACTGCTGTGGATATAGTGGCTGCTTGAACAAAAAACAAACTAATTTTTACGTAAAACAAACAAGAACAAAATTATTCTCATTGGGGGGCAAGATAGGGTACCCCGTTACCCCATCTTGCCTGCAGATCTATTTTATAAAAGAAAAAGAAAAAAGAAAAAACCGCCAATAACCTTAAGGAAACACAATGCCTACCTTATTGTAGGTTAGTTTAAGCGTCAATCACAGCAACACCTCACCAGCTAACGTTATTTAACAAACCACAGTCACGTGTCAAACCAAAAGAAAATATGATAAGCAATTTGCAGTAAAACATTTTTTTTGAATTTTTTTCGACACTGTGCTCTTGTGAACTACTAACCACCGGGCGACTGATAAGTACCACGGCGGCGCGTCGAACGATGAATGAACGATCGTGATTGGTCAATTTTAACTGTTAATTTCGCTGGGTACCCCGTCTTACCCGCTACCCCGTCTTACCTCCTTCTCCCCTATTTACATTATCTTAAGCATACAGATTTGCTTTGAAGCCGTGGTAGCTCAGATGGTTAACGCTCGCTGTAAATATAACAGAACGCGAGTAACCCGGGTTCGATCCCCGCCGGCACCAATGAAATTGTTAATTGCAATTTTAAGTGCTGATTTACCACGTGCTCGCCGGTGAAGGAAAACATCGTGAGGAAACCTGCATGTCTGAGGAATAAGAAAAAAATATATATATTTCGAAGACATGTGAAGTTCGCCAACACGCATTGGGGCAGCGCGGCGGACACTTCCTTGCCCTAAAACCCTCTCAGAAATAAGGGGAGGCCTGTGGCCAGCGGTGGGACGTATACAGGCTGTAACTTTAAGCATACAGATTTGCTCACCATGTTTTTCTTTACCGTCAAGTACGTGATATTTACCTTATCTTACTTATGTGGAAATCGACTCTCTTTGTTAGTGTTTTTTCATAGGATAGGGTGACAAACGAGCACACAGTCCACCTGATGGTAAGTGGTTGCTGCGGCCCATAGACATCTACATCTATTTTCGATTACGAATCAAAATGCAGTTGCGTTGTCACCCGTGAGGACTAAGGTGGAATGCCTCGTTTCCAGTAAAAAGAGTCTTCGGTTCTCTACATTCACCATACGAAACAGAGCAGCATTAAGCTACTATTTTCGCTTTTATTCTGAGAGAGCATGGTCCTTCCACGGTCGAGCCGACCCATTCGTGCTACAACTGTACTACTAATATAACTACAGCATGGCTCTACTACGTATAAAAGCGTGCTATGAAATTTAAGGCAAACGCTTATCCTCAGAGCTATAACGGCAAGCATGGTTTGTCAGATTGTGGCAAAGGCCCTCACTATAAATGAGGAAAGTGCTTATCATATAATATTGTTACGCCGCGCTCAAATCGGCGCACTAGCGCCATCTAGTCTCGAACCGAAGAACTAAACTTCTTGAAGTTTAAAACTCGAACTCTCGGTACCTTGCGCGTGTTTACTTGAACATTCTGGATATTTTGCTAATTTATATAACTAGGCGCTGCAAGATGCGATCGGGCAGAGTTGAACTCGGCGACACAAGCGAAGCTTCGGAGCGGAATTAAGTGAATTAGTGTGTTTAATTATTAGTGTTTTTAGTTTTAATTTGTGTACAGTAAATTAAAGTGTTAATTTAGGTAATTTTATCGGCAATTTTTATTGTCACGAACCTCAAGCTCTTAACAATAGAAATCTCACCTTAAAAAAACTGTAAAGTTGGACAAGGAATTTAAAAAAAATATGTAGGTAATTTCTATTAGTTCTCCTTTTTAACCATTTTAATATTTAGAAAGTTTATAGTTTATCACAAATTGTTTCACCTTTCCAAAAATTTCCTTTTTAAAATAGAAACATAACATTTAATGCACACAATTTTAGTTTATATGTTATGATAATATTCATATAACTTCGGTAATGTAATGTATTGTAATGTGTTAACTAGAATAATGTGTACTTAATGTCGACAGCAATGGTGTACGGAAAAACTCTAATGAGTTTATGTTTACATTAAAATTATCTATCTTTGTAACCATACATTTCTTAAATTAATAAATTAAAAAAAAGTTTGTCGTACATAGAACTGACCATTCTTAAAGAAAGAGTGACAGTGACCATTCATAACGTTGAAGATTACTTTTCACAAGGAGGAATGACTCCTTCACTGTCTAAGAGTCTAAAGCACATGTCCATCCTGGGACTAAGCAACTCAAGGATGTGTCGGTTCTGTTCCATAACGGAAGAAACGTCTCTACACATCCTAACTGATTACGGACCTTTATTGCGCAAATGTAACACTCATCTGGGTAACTATGTACTACGCCCAGAAGAAGTGAAATTGCTCACGGCTAAGCAACTCCTTCTATCTATTGAAGTCATAGGGCTTAGCCGTGAACTATAGCCATAGCAGCGATCACAATAGATCTTCTAGGTCGCACTGATACTGGTCTCTTTCCCTAGACCAGCATAGCTGCTCGCACTTAATAAAAAAAGTCTGTCTGGATATGTGCCACAATCGTACCTATTTCCGCTGCAAAGAACAGTGCTTTCACTGCTATGTTCCAGACGGAAGTGTATAAAGAGCCAGTATAGTTATAGACTGTGAGGCATTCCATCTTAGTCCAAAGAGGTAATAATGCAACCAAAGCCTTCTTTGTTTGTAGATGTCAATGGGCTGCAGTGAATATTTACCACCTGGTGGAGTGTAACTTCGTTTGCCACATCAATCAGAAAGCGCAAAGCAGGAGCACATACCCATTGGATTCTGCTCCCTAAAATTAGTTAGAAAGAAATTAAACGTTTTTGGGTGATTTACCGCTATCATTCGTTTTATCTACCAATCTAAAATGTAAGCTCAGAGTCGGCTTAAGCTTGGGCCCCCACGCAATACAAATGTTGCTCCCTTCGCCTTTCTCCAACTTCTTATTTTTTTCTAAAACTATGGGGCCGTATGTATTTGTTTAATTTGAGTTTAGGTTAATGAAATAAAATATTCAGTATTCTGCTGGGTATTTAAGGGAAGTTTAGGATATGAAAATCAAATATTAAGCAGCAGATCTTACAGCAGCTTTTTCCTGATAACAACTCCCGACTTAGCACTCGAGGTGTACAACATTGTTTATTTTACTGCACTATAACGCATTGGACTAGCGGCTCTACTGACCGCGGATTATATTTACGCACAGGAACAATATTATATATTCGTTTATTACGTAGTTGCCACGCTTTTATACACACACTCACGTTGCCATAGAGTTGATATTCATTTATTACACGCACGATTCACGATGACACTACACACATATTTGCCATAGAAACCTCGCTTGGCATGCTAAATTGGCAGCCGCAGATTTGATTTTATAGCTATTATACGGCAGTGACAAACGAGCACACAGTCCACCTGATAGTAAGTGGATGCTCTGGCCCTTAGACATCTACATTTATTCTGGATTAAGTATCAAAACGATGGTGCGTTGTCAACCATGTGAACTGAGATGGAATGTCTCGTTTCCAGTGGAAAAGGGTCTCCGGATCTCTACACTCACCATACGAAACGCAGCAGTATTAAACTGGTAATCTGTGAGAGCGTAGACAGGCAAGATCAATGTGAGACGTTCAAGCCAACCCATTCGTGCTACAACCATAATATAGCTGCAGCGTGACTCTACCACGTGTAAACTGTAGCAAGTATCCCTTGTATGGGGCAATCTATGGAGAAAGTATATATATATATATATATATATATATATATATATATATATATATATATATATATATATATATATAGTAGTAGTATAGCGCTATTTAATAATTTGTAATTATAAATAAATGAATTATAATTATCAATTAAAATAGCGCTGAAATATTATACTTTACAGACTTGTAAAGTAATATTTTAAAGCTAACATTAGTGAAAAGACTGTTATAAGCTCACGTGAAAATTATATGCATAATATGTCCTAGTAGACCGTTGTGGTGAAGCGGGGTTTCCGCCGCCTCGCAGATGTTACGTAGCAAACACTCTCTACCGTTCATGCCATGCCTGAAAATATTTTACAGAAAAATCAAATCGATTTAAGTGCGCGCTTTACATTTAAATACCTGTCAAAATGTGATCTATTCTAAAAAATTAACGAATTATGTTGTAAAATAATCTAAAATTAATCATTTGTAAACAATGAAATCAAATAAAACATGAAAGCATTCTTAGCTACAAGAATGACCCAACGCAATTCACCAGTTTTTTTTTTAAATATATAAGAGGGGACAAACGCGCACGTAGCTCACATATATGCGTCACCTAGATGGTAAGCTACTACAGCCGTCTATGAACAAATGCAACAACGAGAAAATTGCAGGTGCGTTGCCTGCCTTTTAAAAAAGATAGGCTCATTTTGTCCCTAGATTTAGATGTGGATTATTAATTGCACTGCAAACTTGAAAAACGTGGTGGTTATGGAAGAGGCTAGACGCAAGCAGTGAACTATTACGGACTTCTTAAGGAAGTCAGTAAGTGATTTTTTGTTCACAACTGTGATGCCACTATAGAATAATCTATTTATAGGTTAAAGTAGAAAATGTTCTATTCTTACTCCTTGAATCGGGCTTCCAGTACTGTGTAGGCTAATTCCCGTGTTACACTTCTACTATGACGTGAGCTGATGATCTGTGAACGCAAAATGTTCATGTCATTCATATATTTTTTTAAGGAATAAGGATGACAAATTTTGCACACCACCTGAAGTTGCCCATAAACGTCTACCTAAGTCTACCCTCGAATAAGAAAAAAATTAAAATGCGTTGTCATCCCTGATAACTAAGATGGAATGCCTTATTTCTGGTTATAGAGTTAAATTTGCAGCACTAGGAAAGATCTTTATGGAGCATCATTATTAATTGGTCGGCT